ACATTCTATCAGGCTGGTAATGAAAGATAACATGAAATTAAGAATATAGTTCTTAGAGCATACTCTCAGAATTTCAGAGCTCTGCAGTTAGTTGCATGGTGATTTCTAGAAGTTGCAAAAGGCAATTCTTGAGTGATAATGCCCATGCCGCATGCAGATGGCAATAGCAGTGCTGTAGTTCATGATCAGTCATGCAGTAATAATTCAATGATGTGAAAGTGCCTTTCCGTTTCAGTTCATATTTCAATGTTAAGGAGTTTATTGAATATAATTGACTGACCAGGACAATTGAACAGTTACAAAGGCATTGTTACATGAAATCATTTACTTGCATCTACCTCCTGGTCTACTTACTAGGGAAATTTGTCAAGTGCGCTTGTCAGCCTAGGGACCTCAGCTGCGATGCAATTGCATTTGGTAATGCGGTACTACTAGTACAGTTATTATAAATTTATTGTTATTATAATTATTTAAAATTTAATATTATAATTTTGTAACATTTTTAATTATCTTTAACTTCTCACTATCATTTATTATTATCATTTACTTATCATTCATCTATCTTATAATTAATGCATCAGCCAACCCATGTGCATAATTAATTCACTTCTCATTTATCAATAATTTATCATAAATTTATCATTTATTCATCATTCATAAATCATTCATATATCTTTCATTTGACATTTATTCATCATTTACATACATATCATTTATTTTCTTATTTGTTGTTTATTTATCACTTATTTATCAAACTGGAATCAATTTTGTTCAATCCTGCCTTTTGGTAAATTTGAATCATTCGTATCTATCAGTCACATCTCTTTCCCCCACCCACCTGTAGTTAAAGTCTCAATCAAAAGGTTTTATTTTAGTTAGAATAAATAGCATACAAGTGCTTTCTAATTGTCTATAATCTTTGAAAGTGGCTTGTAGGAAATGTAGAAATGGTGTTTTAAAAAAATGGCAAAAATTTGTCCATTTTTGGGATGTAACTGAATAGAGGAAATTTTTTTAGCTCTTTCACTTTTATTTGTACTCAATACAAATTTGTATTTTTTTGTATATTTTTCTTTTTTCAAATGTGTGGTTTTCATTATGATTGAAGAAAGAAATATTTTAGGTTCACATACATATTTATAGCAGTAAACTGGAGCCCAAAGTGAGTTCTCATAACTTCTGGTACAGGGAGTTTGCCCAGTTCAGTCAAGTCCTGCCCAAGCTGGATGCTGGAGGACTTAAGGCAAGCTGGATGTCCTTCTCTTTCAGTCAACATCAAGAACAAAAATAGTAGATTTTCCAAGAATTTAAGGGGGTCATCTATTCCTAAAAAAAATTCTAGATTTACTGACCAATCTTTCTGAAACTTCATCTACACATGTAAACAAAATTTTTTCCTCTGATCATAATAAAAATTATACATCTGAAAAGAGAAAAAATCTAGAAAAATGCCTTACAAATTTAAGAGGAATGCAAATAAAAGTGAAAAAGTTGAGAATTTTTACCTTTATTCAATTATATCCCAAAAATGGACCAATTTTTTAAACTTTTTTGGGAAAACTATTATTTCTAGATTTCCTATGAGCCAATTTATAGATTTTAGCACCATTGGAAATCTTACAGGCTATTCATTCTAACTAAAATAAAACATTGTGGTTGAGACTTGGACTGCAGGTGGGTGGGGGAAACAGATATCAATTGATAGATATGATTATGAATAGTATAAATTCCCCAAAAAGCAGAATTGAACAGAATAAATTCCAGTTTCAGGGTTTTGGCACCATAAGTGAGCTTTAAAAATGTAAAATTTACATATCCATTGCATGAAGGCATTGAAGATAGATGGATGGGGCCATTGGGGCAGGGGTTACAACTTAAAATTAGATAACTTATAAAAAAATCAACACACAATAAAACTTCAACAAAAACAGTAAGAACAGCAAAAATGCCTACTTAATTTTTTTTGTGAATACATCTTGATCATGGATGCTCCTAACTCCAAACTCAGTGATCTTGAATGAAGGCTTGGACAAAGTCAAAGTAGTTGAGACATCAGTTGTGTCAGGGGATCAGTTGTGCCCTGTCTCTCCTGAATATGTTAATAATGTTCAACATATTAATTTATACTATTAATAATATTATTAATAATTAATAATAATGATATTAATTGACATGTTTAGATTTTAGATTGACATGTTTAGTCTGTGTAAAAGTAAAATCGTCCTGATCAGTAAAATATATGCAATAAAGTTCTCAACGTTGAAATGTGAGCTGAAACACTAACAGGAACTTGGAAGGCACTTCCACATCACTGAGACTGAATCAATTGCTATGAGTACTAGTATGAAGTAGTACCGCTTCACTAAATGCCATTGCAGCTGCCATTCACGTAAGCATTGGACTCGTATTTTTTGCAACTTGCACCATCACTATGCAAATATTTTCAAAACTCTAAAATTTTGAGAGCATGCTCAAATAACTGTTGGCTTGTTTTCTCACCATCTTTCACTAACTTCTCAATATGCTATCAAAGTTTTTTTTAGAACAAAATGGCACCTATTGAAGTTGCTGCCAAGCAAGAAGACAACAGAAATTTCTCCAAAAACAAGATGGCGTTGTCCTAATTCAATTTTTTGTTCGATTCCAAACACAAGCTGCTCAAATTAAGCTACCAGTTGGGCAGGACTTTTAAAACTAAATCCCTCTCGTGCATGGAAGCAAAAACTACCTGTCCCCTGTTTTGGTTGTTTTGTTGTGGTCCGCGATTGGTTTGTGCATATACCTAACATGTGTAAAACACAAATGCAAAAACTTTTTGTCGATGAATTTTTTTATTTAATGAAGGAAAATGTAAAAAGCAATGGGAAAAAGGGACGTGTGAAAATCTATCTCCTTTTTTGATATACAAGCTACAATATTGAGACTCAATTTAATTTATAATGAATTAATTTAATCTTATAATATCTAAGATTATAGAAATATAAGGTATATCAGGACAGTCGTCCCACATTTCATAAAAATGTTGTAGCAGCTAACCTTAGCAAAATTTGCAAAGCTAAAAATAGTAGCATAAAGTTCAAAACATATTTACTATCTATGTAGCATAAAGTAAATTAAGAAACCATACATTTACTTCCTCTAAAAAATCCTTGAAGAAAATTAAAAAAAGTGAGATTTTGGGAAAGTACCTCTGCTAAGGTCTGTAGCGAAAAAATTATTTGTCAAATTAAAAAATTTTACTTACATAAAAGTTGCACACAGGTGTTAACTTAAGAATGTGATCAAAGAAATTTGCAAATCTCATTGAACAAAAAAATGGCAGCCATTTCCACAAAACGGGGTAATGAGGAACACTCCCTGGGGTAATAAGAGACACCCCCTGGGGTAATAAGAGACACCCCCTGGGGTAATAATGGGCACCCCCCCAGGATAAGGGACACCCCTAAAAATGCATTTACAGTAAAACATTGATTAGCAAAGGCTCCAGTTAACAAAATATCAATTTACCAAAAAATTTTGATTGCATTTATTTCACTCAGTAAATAAATTTTGCTTAATGAAATATTAATGAAAACTCGGTCATCACAAAATTGTGCATAGAATGTTGCAGATAGAATTGTGCACCGGGCAACATAGAATGAAAAGTAATTAACCTAAACTATGATTTATTTCTCCAAAAAATATGATAGTGTCACTAAAATATTCCTTCCTGATTCAGATATGTTTCTTATGATCTTTTTTGTTGTTATAGTGAATTCACTTGACCCAATTGAATGGTGTGAAATTACAAGCCATTCTGTAAGCTTACAGATACAAAAAAAATGTAATATATACGGCTGCTGATATGAAGCTTGCAATGGACAAGGTCATTGTAAATGATCAATGGCATGTTCATGGATACGGTAATATCACATCAATAATACAGTAATGTATGGCTATGGTAATATCATACCAATAAAGGAAAAATAAGTAAAAATCACAGAAAATATCATTTACTCCACATTTACATTATCTATGAAGGAAGAGGAGGACTTAAGAGTACTGTTAGCAATAGATGAGTACACTCTGCAAGCTTCAAACGTTTGAAAATTAATAAAATTATGTTTTATTTCAAGTGTTGCAGATTACTACATTCTCAGGGGTAATTTAGGACGCTTTTATTTTGCATCTGACACCTTAAAAATAGCAAATAAATTTTTCAGAGATGCCATAGGATAGCCCCTGGAAAGAACTTTAAAATGAGTCCAGGCTTGTTTATGAAATGGTTCATGGTAAGAAGTTATTAATGAAACATGTTCCTAACCATCCTTTAACTTCTTCTTCAAAACCATACCCCGTTTGATAGTATAGTATATAGTATAATCCAAATAATATTAAATGAAAAAAGGGCTTTAAGAGTTGCTAGACATTTGCTTTACAACTCCAATGATATGTCTCATGAGGTTGTAATTCACAATCTAAAAAGGGGATAAAGTATTAAGGTGATGTAAAATGGAAATTTAAATTGTTCAGGAGTGGAAAATAATTCAGAAAGGTTAAAAAAAGTATAAGAAATAAATTTGCTCAACAATGTATACCCAGCTTTCCTATAGTTATTTTGTGCATTGAGGGTGCCATCATGCACCACATGACATATTGTTATCAAGTTTCATGCAAATAATTTGTAAATATCATTTTTATTGAAGAATTCTTCATAAAAATGCAATAGACATTCCTTTTATTTTATTCAAATTTAATACTGTCTCTTACAAAACCAAGCATGCACCTGTATACTGTTTGCTGCCTTTGATGCACTTTGCACATAAGTAAAAAATGATCTCAAAACCAACTAAAATAATGCAAACAATAATCTATAATGTCATTTTCCTAAATGTCATTTTTCCTAAATGTAATTTTTCCTAAATAAATCTTTGTAAATATTGTTAAAAAATGTCCATTTTCCATAAATTTGAAACTTTCTCATTCAAAACCTAAAGCACGCACTTACATGCAGTGTGCTGCTTTTGCAACATCTTTCCTGCAGCTCAAAATGAGCTCAAAAAATGGCAAAGAAAACACTTATTTTATTTCTGATATGGATGACCCTAACAATTTACCATATGACCAGCTCAATGTTTTTAGGATGGTTCTACAACTGTAATTGTTCAATGTAACTTGCCAAACTAATTTTGTGTTACATTAACTAAAGATTTTAAAAGTGCTACGTGCTGGTAATCTTAAACAATCATCACATGCCATCATGGAAAGCAATGCATTCAAGTGCTGGGTTGTCCTACACCAACTCCCTGCATCTGCTGTGGGTAGGGGCTGGTGTGCCATACCAAGCCTTGCTCAAGCTGGTGCAGATGTTGGCAAAGTTACGTTAAAAGGTGAGCATGCCTTTTTTCTGAAGATCAATCTATAAATTCAATGTCATTGCTTTATTTAGTAGTGATGTCTATAGTTTAAACCAGACTGAACTTTTTGAAAGATCAAAGAATTACAGTAAAAGATTAACTGATGTTTACAATAGATTCTGAATCATAAGATCGGTGTATTTATGTAGTGGGCATATATCTTTGTAGGGGGAGATATTATTGCCTGAGGTTTTTAATGCAACCTAGCACGATAATAAAATTTTATGACTGGAAGAATACCTTGGTCCAAAATTTTTATTGTGCAGTTTCAGATGCAGTTGCTCACTCTTCAGTTCTCAAACTTCCAACTGAGCAAATTAAAGAGGAGTTGATGGAGGTCATATATATAAAGGAGGAACCATTTGGTGCTGGTGCTACAACCCTGGTTGTAGTGGCCAGCAAGATATATCTCCCTCATCCAGAAAGGCACTGAGGAAAGCAAGCACTCCCATCAACCCTGGTTGTAGTGGCCAGCAAGATATATCTCCCTCATCCAGAAAGGCACTGAGGAAAGCACGGTGTGAACTTACACAAGTTGTAACAATGATAGATAAAGCATTAAGAGATGATCAATCATATCAAAATGTAAAAAATTTGATCATGGAAGATAAAGCAGCTATCCCAAGAAATTTACGTCAATACCTAAAACAACATTTCAATGTAATGAACAGAAGCAGCATGGAAACACCAAAGGCAACAAATGAATGGCTGAAGAAACATGTAATTTATAATGAAAATCAAGGAATTGTCCCCTTCCCTGTTCTTGAGTCGTATGATTGTGATGAAATATTCAGTTATTTGGTGAGATCTAAAAACACGATAAACTTGCAGCGAAAAAGTCTAATGGCAGACCATATTCACTTTGGATATTTCCTAGAACTATTCTGTGAAAAACACCACAATGAATATGTAAGTGGAACAAAAAAATCTACCGCACGAACTGTGCTAAAGGAACAACTAGGCTTCAGCATCTCCCACTCGAATCGACTTCGATGGATTGGTAAACTTGGATATCATTATCAGAAACTCATGAACTTATCACTTTCTCTTAATGCACTTTTCCGTAAACAGAGGCAGATTACAAAATTATTCAAACATCATCCCATTCTAGCCAATGAGTGGAAAATAGAAAGTTACTAACTTGTTCAGAGGAAATGCATTCCAAATGTGTGAATTTTGAGGTCATTAGCTTGCATTAATTGAGCATAAGCTAAGATTCTCTTCATTGGTGACATAAGAGAACCACAGCCTGCCTGCATTGCTTCCGTTCCTGGGCAGGTACTTTAAAAAAATTACTAAGTGGATGTCACTTCTTTGAACTTAAGCACAAGTTGTCTAGCATACGCACAGCAACTTTTGACATCTTCAAAACTTTTATATGCACAACTTGGCTAAAACCATGCTTTCAAACCACGTTGCATATCAGCCAATCACGAGCTTGCTTGCATCCTTTGTTTACATTATGAGTCACATGATGCCACAGTTCTATAATCAGTTATTTATACATTTTTTGCTCTTTTTAGGAATCTTAAATGTTTTTACTTAAAAATTTCAATGACAAATGCTTTTTCAAGACAGCAAAACTATTTTTTTTATAAAGGCCTCCCACACTCATCATTTCAACAAAAAGGAAATTAATTTTATTAAGTAAAAACAGGGAATGGTTTCATGTCAATGATCAGGGCCCCGACCTTAACACCTCTGATGGTGGCCTACACCGACTCCGAGGGTCACTGAGCTGTTACGCGAGCGAGGAGCGGGCCCACGTCGAACTTTTCTCTGACTGCTGTTAGGATGCTAGCTGCATTGCCTCTCTGCACAGTCAAACCCAACCTTTGCTCCAACCATAGAATCTCTCTACGTTCGCCGGACAATTCAGTAATGCGATGGCCAATCTGTGATATTAAAGGACCAGTCGTTTCACCATATGTGCCCGTTGTTTCTAATGCGACTGGCTCAAACGATACCGAGCTGCCAACGCCGCGTATTTACGTCTCTTGCTATCCTCCGCCGCACGAGCCGCAAACCCAGCAGAAATAGCCGAATTATTGACGTGCGACTCAGCAAAAGTGTCGACGCAGGTTGCATCCCAGCACAAACACCTCCCATTAGAAAATGGGAAAACGGTTCAACGGGTTCAAGGCATGAAGGAACGCCAGCGCTCCGAAGAGCCCTCCTGATCACATCGTTCAGAGCCGAGTGTCTTGGATGTCGCCCAGCGCTGTACTTACAAGAAAGGCCATGCAGTCCTCGTACATCCATCTGCTATTGCTATTATCTAAAACTATTATCTAATGTTATTCTCAAACTTTCAACTGAGCAAATTAAAGAGGAGTTGATGGAGGTCATATATATAAAGGAGGAACCATTTGATGTAGGTGCTCACTCTTCAGTCCTCAAACTTTCAACTGAGCAAATTAAAGAGGAGTTGATGGAGGTCATAGATATAAAGGAGGAAACAACATTATAAACAAAGACTACAATTTTTGTGAATTCATTGTTTAGTTCCACCAATTGGACTCATTTTCTATTGATGCGCGTTGAGAAAAAATTCATTTGCATGACTAATGTAATTCCTTAGGTATAAAATAGGACATTTTTCTGAATAAAAATTAGATGATTTATGTTAAAATGATACTGGAGTCTATACACTAGTATGATACTGGAGTCTAGACAGTAGTAACTAAATGATTCCCAAATCGCTTCACTCGCTAAAAAGTGGTTTGTAACTCCACTTGCGCAACCTCTGAATCGTTGCAAAGTTACATCCAACTTATTGCTTGTAGCTTTACACAAAATGTTTTGAAGGTACCATCATTTTGGGTTACACGCAAAAAGTACAGCGCCCAACACTTTGAAAGTACAGCCTTTGGTCAACAGCTGCCTATTACTGTACAATCCAACAACATTACTCAGCACATTATTATTAGTAACATGCAACTTGCTCGAGCCCATGATCTATAGCAAATTATTACAGAGGCTTTGCAATTGCCACTGGTTGCCTGTCAGAGACCACCACTGCCATGCTTTGAATGGACTTTCATAATATCTCCCATCAAGAACGTAGCCTATAACACTTCTTGATGTAACATTATCAGTCGCAAGCCACCAGACAGATCACATCCATTGAATTAGATCAATCAGCCCACAGGAAAGTAGCCTGACGTAGTATGGCCCAGCATCATCTGCCTATACAACAAAAAATTCTACACCACCCGGATGAAGCGCGCCGGAGCCTTGCAGTGAATATGATGCCCACCACCGACCCATCCATATCTGTTCCGTGTGTCAAATTAGCCCACGGTCAAATGGCCACTCATTGAAGGACTATACATTTTTTAACAGAACTATGCTATCTGAAACCTAACCTCAGATGCTGTGAGCTAAAGGTGACTTTCTGGTGGTGCACAGCAGGATTCCTGCTGTTCCAATGGCGACCTAGGCTGATTGATCACAGTCTATTGTCCGCTGGTTACAGTTTGAGCTAAGGTCAGGGTATGAAGTGATGGTTGGATGTATGATTTGATGTAATGATCAGTGGTAGACAATGATTACACTCTGGGCTATTCCCTTCAGAATATGGTGGCGTAAAGCTGTTGATATTTAAAACAAGATGATGTCATGAACTGATTACTGATAGCAGGATTAATTCGTGGCTAATTGAGGGCCTTACGGAAATATGCTAGGCTTTGTATTCAGGGCTGATTGGTGCACGAAATTGGTGGTGCACAGTTGTGCTCCCAGTGCCATGTCTCAATTGCTGAAATTATGTTATGGAATGACACTCTCAACATGCATCACCAACTCATGTATCAGAGCAACCATTTATATTCAACATTAAACAGCAGTTCAAACTGAGTGAGTTGCTAATTGCATGCTAATAGGTATAATTTTTAGTGATTAACATTCATTGCAATCTTTTATATGTATTTCCTTCATAAATACTTAATGATCATCACTTGGGATTTTGTACATTATTTAGGTATGGACTCGTTGCACATTGCTCTCTTTATACCTTTAGCCTTTTGAATTCTAGGATATTTTGTTTATAACAACACAGCTTTGCTACAAATTCTCAAGGCCTACAAATTCTTGGATTGGTAAACCATATGTTTCATCTTTCATTTTATTGATTAAATTTTGTTTTTTTATCTGAATATAGGCAATGATCTTTGCAATATTTAATGTATCAAATAAGTCTTGAATAGAGTTGACATTCATGGAAATCATCAGTCTGAACATCATAACAAAGTGAATTGGCATTGGTAAGTAAAGCTTTGCTCAATTGCCATATTTTTTTTCTTTCGTTGTTATGAAATTCGAATGCTGATGATTTGCCTATATTTAGGATGCTTATTCCTACATGTATTTGGTTTATCAAACTTTAGCTTTTCTTTTTTAGAACATATTTGATTCTTGTAAAATATAGTTTGTTATCTAATCTCAATTCCTACTCAGTCTTGAACTTCAACTCTGTTTCTAATCTTCTCCATGGTTTTCCTGAATACACAATTATTTATCAGCTTGAATAAGTCTTTATCTAAGCCAGATTTTGCTTCTTGTCTTACATTGTTGTTTCCTGATCTACGTATGGCTTCATCTACGGATTTTTTTTATAAAATTCTAGTGTTCTAAAGATTTTCTATTATTTCAATATAAGTTCTCTGTTTAGTTTGAGATTGCTGTGATGGATTACATGGTTTTATCATTTACCAAGATGATGTGCAAACTTATGAACATCCCTTATTTTAATATTTTCTGGGGCTCGAGATAATTAATATGGTTGTCATGTAAGTCTTTTAGATAGCTGAAGTCAACTTGTAGAATGTAGCCTTCACTATCTTTGAATGGATCATTTTCTTTCAACCATCCAAAGACTCCTGTTGGTAGGCTTTGTGACATGGCCAAGCCATATAAATTATTTACATCCATGTGTGATGTATAATTACTCAATTTTTGAGGATCATAACTTGCAGGAATGAATTTGTTTATCATATTATGTTGATATCATTGAAACCCCTTTTCTAACACTTTTCTCAATGTATAATATCATATCCGAATTGTTTATCAAGTCTTATTCTATCTCAGTAATTTTTAATAGAGCATCAAATGATAGTTGCTGAGATTTGAAATAATGAGCTGGATATAATTTATACCTTATCAAACAGGCATCAAAAGTTCTCAAATACTTCTCTCAATAACAAGGTATCAACTTTTGGATGTTTTTCTCTTAAAAATATCCCAAACTTCTTAGGCATCTTCAAATTCTTTATGGAATATGTGTTTATCATTCACCGTGTTATAGAATTCATTTTATTTATTTAAACTAACCTAATTCATTTCATCATAGATATTGATGTAATAAAATTTATATGCCTATACTGCGTTTTTATCAAATCAATCGGTTCATTATAAGGAAAATATTTTCTACATTTTGCATACTCTGTTAAATTTCTCAACTATGCTTCTAATGATAAAAACTTATCTATGTATGTCCTGCCTTTATGGTTTGTGTGAAACTTGTATTTTTTATTGGTTTTGGGTATAGCATTTAATTCACCAGGCACTTTACATTGTTCTTTAATAAACAGATACAAATCATAATTGGATTTGTTATTCATAAATGCTGAAATGAAATTTGGATTTTTAATTCTTAAGTTACACTTAAGACGCACTGGACCTCCATAGTCTCCCATTAGGTGGTAGTTATCTCTAGCCTTGTAGTAATTTCTTCATGGCAGACACAACAAACTATAGAATTTGTGTTCGTGAAATTTTTCAACTGAGAAAACAACTTTCTTAGATATTGATTTAATGACTCGTACTCATATCTTTTTCTGCTTCTAGATATTTCGCCAATTTTTCAGGTGCATATTCACCATTATATAACTCCAACTTGAAGTACCTTTCATCTTTGCATTTAGCGTAACTACAGAAACTATTAGGCTCACGCTTTAGAATATATTGCCTATAATTCGAGGTTGGGTCTGGTTGATCTGAATCAATACTTGTTGGATTTGTTTGAAAGTCAGCATAAAAACAAAAAGATGTTTTATCAAACGATGGCTTAAATGGATGACAATTCTATTGGGTCAGCTATCTAATAAGCAAGATTTAATATGTGAAACACAATCACGGAATCTAAGAATTTAAAGTGGCTGCAATGCATTGGGTGAATGCATGGGTTTTGATTTTAATATTAACACATCAGGTTTGTGAATAGCTTGTGTCCAACAATTATGCAGGAGTTCATCAACCCCTCAAGGTGTTTCAGGCTTAGTTTTTATAATATATTTTTAGACACTATATATATATATACTTCTTACATGAATCAAACTTGTTTGCTGCTTGCCTATTATTATTATCATACATAATGTAATTCAGAGGAATGCAATATTCATTCATGTTGCATCTTCATGGTATTTCTTATAAAAAATTTTAAATTGCATTTGATTCTGAGAAGGGTTATGCAATTTTGAAACTCTTTGTTAAGTTTCATTTCTGTTGAATGTCTTATTGCAAGAGGTCATGCAGCATTGCTGTGAGGCTTGTTCATGCTTGACTAGATTATTGTGTTTTTATACACTGCTTGCTTTCTAAACAAAATTTTTTCATATAGCATTTTTTAACTGCCCAGCAATTCAGGTCATCATGTTTCTTGTAGTAATTATGTTTATTCTTTCCTCATACATTTATACAATGATGGCCATCTGATGTTTTGAAATTTATACTTAGACTGTTTTCTTACCTATCACATCAATTAATTTGTGCTTCTACAGCACAATTTTTACTGCACATGATCTGATAACAAATATAGAACAAATTTGAATACTTTCAGTATTTTGTTTTATTCACCTTGTTGATAATTGATTACAATACAGTTTCAGAGATGAAAAATAGGCCCTGCAGACCTTACCTGCTTTTCACAGTGCCAGCAACCTTGTTGCTGCTCAAATTTAATTCTCATAATTTGGAGATTTTTACTGAAACTTTACAACCACTAACTCAAGCTGAGAACCATCTAAGTTTGATTCATAGTATCTAATCCCTGAGTAGTTTTTTTCTAGTGTACACCAATTCAATAACTTTTTTCTTGGCTGGCTTGGCTGAAAGAAGCTCCAGCTGTTCCATTAGGCTAAACTTTCATTGATAATAGCAAGCTGAAGTCACAGTACATGGAATGCTAGAAGCGACCGACCTGGCTGAAAATATGCATAAACTACTGAAGTTATCTCTTTAGAAATTGTGTTAATATTCCTAAATTCTACTGGTTTAAAGATTAAATGTAAGAATGCAGTTGTTTTACTCTTAAACTTAATGAGCTACTTTGGAGAAGTCTCCTGTGCATCTTTAATACATCAGAAATAAAGAAAGCGTCACTTCAGATCAGTTTATAAATTACTCTGTTGGAACTGCCTACTATTGCTTAACACGTTGACTAGGATTGCTTCATCTTGTACTATTATTTCATTTTTTGTACTGTTTTTAAACAGGGTTGCCAGACGGTCATTTTTTCCGGACAAATTCCGTGATTTAGTTTTTCTCAATTGCATTGGCCGGCTAAAATTTATGATAGGGGTACTTCCTAATTAAATTTTAAATACTGCAAAAAGAAAATGAATGGAATTTTTATAGTGGAACCTACAAATAAACTAGTATATATTTTGAGTTATCGGCCTTTTTTGTTCTCAGATTTGGCCAATTTTAGGTAACCTGAATTATGTACCACTACATCCTGGAGAAATATATTTCGTGGTACGCATATGTACCACTTCGTAGTCAACGTGTTAAAAATAATATGTGGTAGTTTTTTCAACTGGAAGATATGTAGATGTTGAAATTAATTGTTTACTTGAATTCATGTCAGTAATAAAAAATTTTGCTGTTTGCCCTTGGAAATTCATTGGTAACTATAGATTTAATTGAACTAAATGGTAAGGAGAATGGTGAATAATATTCAAATTCTATCAACTCAAGGTTATTGCCTAGCATAAGTAATTGCTTCAGGCCTTGATGGTAAAGTGTTACAACACATTTTTAATACCACATTCCTATTCAATGTCAGATTTTAAATTTAAAAGTAAGTTTATGGAACTCTACCAAATA